ATTAAGCGAGAAGTGATGAAATGGTGAAGTGAAAAAATTATTTGTGTGTAGAAGCTTTCCTGAAGAGGATAGTTAACCTATTTATTTATATAGGTTTTCAATTCTCTTGTCAGGAAATTTTGGTACCTTGATCTTAGCTTCTTTTTCAGGTGCTGTTTGGTGATCCGGAAGGCCTAAGGGAAACATGGACAAAAAACCAAACAATGGTGCGCAGTGCCAGAATGTATGAGTTTTATCAACTTAGAAAAACGGCACTTTCTTAGATTTTCAAAGGAATATGACAGGTATGATAATGTTTAAATTATTATTTATAAAATATGTAATTTAATTATATATACAGGGTGTCAATTAAGTCCCGGGACGGCTGAATATTTTCTCATGTAAGGTATTTTTGAAAAAGGTCAAGGTCATTTCTGAAGTAATTTTCAACGAGGAATTCAACGGTGACCTTCAATTTGACCTTGAGCTTGACCTTCAAGGTTATTTGAAGGTCAAAGTGTTTTTTTTAAATAGGAACCCCTATTTTTGATTGTATATTCTTATAGCTGACCTCGAGAGCTTTCCAAAATACTATAATAAAATATTTTTCCCTCAAGCATTTATCGAGTTATGATGCTTCAAATCATTTCTTAATTTTACATAAACCGTAAAATATTTTGTAAAATATTCACTTTTCGATTATTTTACCTTAATACTTTTATGTACAAAATAATGAGAGGAATCAATTGGCGTAAAGAAAACATATAGTTGTTTTTAAGAAAAAATATGTAATTTGCAATTAACAATTCCATATTTTTTCTTAAAAACAACTATATGTTTTCTTTACGCCAATTGATTCCTCTCATTATTTTGTACATAAAAGTATTAAGGTAAAATAATCGAAAAGTGAATATTTTACAAGATATTTTACGGTTTATGTAAAATTAAGAAATGATTTGAAGCATCATACCTCGATAAATGCTTGAGGGAAAAATATTTTATTATAGTGTTTTGGAAAGCTCTCGAGGTCAGCTATAAGAATATACAATCAAAAATAGGGGTTCCTATTTAAAAAAAACACTTTGACCTTCAAATAACCTTGAAGGTCAAGCTCAAGGTCAAATTGAAGGTCACCGTTGAATTCCTCGTTGAAAATTACTTCAGAAATGACCTTGACCTTTTTCAAAAATACCTTACATGAGAAAATATTCAGCCGTCCCGGGACTTAATTGACACCCTGTATATATATTTTCATATTTTTAAAGTAAATAATATATACATATCATATATACATATCATTTTATATTTATGAATTTTCATTACACTTTACAGGTGGTTGAAATGGATAGAGGCATCAAAAAGGATGGATTTAAAATTGAAAGGGCCAAAGTACGCATATCAAAATTGTACACTATGCACCTTGCATTTTGAGGACAAGTGACTTATAAAAAAGGCTGTCATTCGTTTACATCCAGATGCTGTACTTACCATATTTTTTGAACCAGCTTTTCAAAAGGAGTAAGATTTTATTTATATTATTTATATAATTTATATAATTGTTAAATATTTTATTTTTAATAATAACATTATTTTGTTATATTATGATAACTGTATATATGTACACACACACACACACACACATACACACACACACACACACACACACACACACGCACGCACACGGAGGGAAGGGGGATAAAAAGAAAGGAGTAATTAAGGAGAAGAAAGAAGGAAAGTGGAACATCTAAGAAGGATAAGCTGGAGAAAGGGAGGGGGGAAAACAACCCAAAAATCAGGGAACTTTAACAGGAACGGGTGTTCTCCCACACTTATCGACTCCTGTGAGCCGGGCATTTGAAGTCAGGGTTTGCCATCCCCTATCCGCATTAGGCCCTAGGCCCGGAGGGAGCGGAACCCCCCTTCCTCCCCTTCCGGGGAGGGAAGTGCAATTGCGTGCTCTTGGTCAGTCGTCCCGAGTCCACCGGACCCCCCAGTCCCCCCGACACCTAAGTATCGAGGAGGAAACAGGGAAGGTCCAAAGACCCGGAGTGGCCTAAGCCTCTCCACCACGTCAAGGTGGCACGCATTCGGAGAAGGTAGCTGATCGACCTAACCTAACCTAACCTTTTTTTTTTTTTACATGGGGAAATGCATTAACGCATACCCTCCCCCGAGGAGAAATAAGGGGGAGGGTTATGTGGGACTCCGGTCAGAATGACCGACTACCCACTAAAACCCACTAAAACCCATGGTGACCCCATGGTGACCTCCTCGCATGCACCCGGGGGGCCATGGGAATGCTTTCGCAGGCAGCCGCGACGCCCCCTAGTCATGCTACGACTCGCCCCCTTTGGAAGCGGGTCTTTCCACAAAATACGTCCGATGCCGCATAAGCGGCTGCAGGTGAGCGGGGCCACATCGCACACCCGCGTCCCTCCCTGGGTATTCTGGGGCGACAGGGTCGGGGTCCGAGTTCTGCAGACTCGGGCCCCGGCCCCCCTTTTAGCCCCGGGTTGGGGCTCCCTCCACTTCCCGTAGGGAAATGGATTCGGCATTCAATCCGGGGACCCACCACGAGGTTCGGGCGGAGGACCGAGGCCCTCCGCCGTTATCCTTCCCGTCTCGGGGGGATCGCCGGGGAAGAGGACATTCGCCCGTAGACTACTAGCCCTCCCCCCGACGATCTCCCTGGGAAGAAGGGATTATGATTCCCGCTATTTAGCGGGGATCACCGTTCCCCCCGCGGCCGGAGTCCTCCCCAAACCGCCCAAACCAAAAGATCCGCGACGGCCCGGAGGAGGACCCGACCCCATCACCACAGGGGTCACCGCGGCCCCCCGGACGCCACCCTTCCGGTGGAGAATCCGGGGGGTCGCACATCTGGCTCCCGCTCTCTCCTATTTTGGACGAGGGGAGCCCCCGGCCCGCACCTGGGCTCAGTGGAGCTCCCCCACTGCGTCCTCTCCTCGTTGCACCCGGGGGCGGAGGTATACCCTCCGCGCCCAGGATATGTCCCGCAGGAAGCCCGCGATCCGCACACAACGGACATCTCGGGCTCCCCGCGCCATTTTGTGAGAGGGAGCGCCGCATTTATAGCAGCGCACCCCTCTCTTGCTTCCTCCGCCTTCTGGGCACTGGGCCGCGATGTGCCCTGCCGCAAGGCAAGAGTAGCACCGGGCCGGCAATACCGCCGAGGGGCGGCCGACGCGGCGCCACTCCCGCCTCTTCCTCTTATTCCCCTTGTCTGGGGAAGGCCTCCCCCCTTCGGAGGGGGATGACTCCGAATCCGAGTCACCCCTCCAAGGGGGGGCTACCGCTTCCGTTTCGATGGTGGCGGGGACCTCTGCCGCGAGATCCCCGTCACCATCTCGTGCAATTCGCATCTCCCGGATTCCCGGGGCCAGGGTCTTGAATCCTGGCACCCGGGGACTCCTCGCCTTCACGGCATCGGCATAGGAAAGGCCGGCCGGACCAGACCCCCTGAGCAAATTACTCCCATCAGCCGAACCTTTCCGCCGCCGATGCATCTGGGGGGCAGCATTGTCCTCTAAAGCTGGGCTGCCCCCCATGCTCTCCGCTGGGAGAGTGCATACGCACTCTCTTCCCCATTCCTTTGGCGTTAGAACGCCGCGGTCCCTGGTGTGAAGCGCTAGGCCCACGCACACGTCGCGTCCGGGGAAGGGAGGGATCCACGGACCCGGACCCGTCCCCACCTCGGACACCCCCCCAGAAAACGCCTTCCCTGGAGGAGGGGAGCAAGGCAGGGAAACTTGTATCCCTACCTCCACCCCCCCTCACTTTTCCACGCCACATCGGCAAGGGACACGATCTCCTGGAGACGCTCGTCCGCGTCCTCCAGGCATTCGATCTGGAGACCGAGATCGATCATGCCCTCCGAAAGCAATGATACCCCCCTCCTTTCCAACTCCACTATTTTTTTGGAGTGGTGTTGGCGCAACTCCTCAGCCCCTTCCCTGAGATCCGCCACAATCTCCTGCAGCCTAACAAAGGCTTCCAGGGGATCGTAGCGGCTACTCGCATATGGGGTGGTAGCCATTTCGGCCCCGAGGCCCACACTTGACCCCGGGGATTGCCAGTCGTCCGATGACGACGGGGGAGGGGCCGGGACACTACCCCCCTCACCCGCCGGGCCCTGGGGGTCCGAAGTCCCCTGGGCCGGTAATGATCCGCGTTTCCTTCTGACCATTTCCATCCATTTTTTGGTTTTTTATCGAGGTTCTCTCTTCTAGGCTATTTGATAGCAGGCGCCACCCCGAAAAAAGAAGAAGAGGAAAGTTGGCTATTGGATAGCAGGCGCCACCCCGAAAGAAGAAGAAGAAAAAGAATGGGCTGGGTGTTCTCCCACCCGTCAACGGTCCCATTGTACCGGGTTTGGAATCAGGGTTTTCCTTCCCCTATCCGCATTAGGCCAAAGTGCCCGAAGGGAGCGGAATCAATGTGCAATGGTGCGCTCTTAGACCCCTCAACCCGAAGGAAGAGGGGAGCCCCTCCACCACGACAAGGTGGCGCACCATCGGAGGGGAGAGGAAGGGAACCTTTTTTTTTTTTTTTTTTTACTTGGAGAAATGCATTGACGCATACTCCCCCCAAGGATGATAAGGGGGGAGTTATGCGGGACTCCGGGGCTAATGCCCCGACTACCCGCTAAAACTCCAAGGCGACCTCTTCGCACGCTACCGGGAGGGCCGCGGGAACGCTTGCGCAATCAACCGCGACCCTCCCTACTCGTGCTACGACCCCTCTTCGGTTGAAGAGAGGTCCCTCTGTAGGAGGCGGGGCTAGGGTGATAATCACCCCACCCCACTACAGGAATGGCGGCGAGGCCAGGTCGCCCTGCCTCGCCACCCTTCTGGGATGGGGCTATAATGCGGGGGGAAGAAACCTCTGCGCTCATCCAGCGCACAGAGGAACCCCCCAGCCCCTAGCCGAGGGAGAGAATATTAATCTCCCTGGGCCCGCCACTGGAGGAAGTGCGGGGCAATAAATCCCCGCTGGGAGCGCTACGGATTCTGGAGGGCATAGGCCCTCCTCCGTGCACCCCCCTTCCTCCTGCGGATAGGGTGAGCATCTGGATCATTTTCCCTCACCCTCTCCGCGGCCTCCTTCTGCGATATAACTTCCTCGCAGAAGGAGACCATGGCGTCCCAGGCGTCCTCGCTCCCGACCATCTTTTCAACGATGGCCGGAAGCGAGAGGTCGTCTCCGACCGCGGCGCGGAGGACACGGCGCTGCACATCCCAAGCAGGACAATCCTGAAGGGTGTGCCGCGCCGTGTCCCTTACCTCCGCGCAATGGTGGCACTTTGCCGTTGGCTCGCGCCTTGCCTTCTCATACAGGTACTCACCGAAGCAACCATGCCCGGTGAGTACCTGCACCGTCCTAAAAGGGAGTCCTTTCGGCCGCCTATCCACCCAGTCCTCCAGGACCGGATGGCCCCGACAGCTCTGAGGCCGACCCTTACATGGGCCAGCCTCTCCTTCCACTTTTCCAGAGCGAGCTGTCGGAACTGGTTCCGGGCAGCTTCCTTCATCCGCGGTGTCGGGGTAACACCACGCTGGCGGAGGGTAGTACGCCACCTATACATGGCAGCGTACGCCTCCGCCAGCAGATCCCAGGGGATCGACCCCGACACCGCTAGCGCCGCCTCCGTGGGGGTGGTTCTGTACCCCCTAGTGATCCGGATGGCCAACCTCCGCTGCATGCCTTGCATTATTGCAAGGCAGCCTCGGCTGGCCATTATAGCTCCGGACCACACGGGGGCTCCATACAGGATCATGGATCCTACCACCCCCATATAGAGACGGCGCACCCTGTCCCGTGGCCCCCCGATGTTAGGCAGCAAACTCCCGAAGGAGTTGATTGCTGCCTTTATACGGGGGGCCAAGCGGTTGAAGTGCTCCCGGAAACACCAGTGGCAATCGAGGTGCAGGCCCAGATATTTCATGCTGGACCGCAGCTCGATGCTGACTCCCTCGACGGTTATATGGGACTGCGGCAGCGACTTCCGCGAAGGCTGTTTAAAGTATACAGCCTCCGTCTTATGAAGCGCCACCGTCAGTCCCAAGGCGCGAATGCGGCCAACGACAAGTGCCACCCCGACTCGTGCGAGGCGACTCACGTCCTCCCATGTCTCCCCACGGGCCATAACGAGGGTGTCGTCCGCATAGCAGACGACACCCAGACCCGTGAGGAGAGCTCCCCGGAGTACACTGTTGTACCCGAGGTTCCACAACATGGGGCCTAAGACTGACCCCTGTGGAACCCCGCAGTACATTGCCCTCCGCATCGGTACACCGTACCGTGCCCGATATGCAACGGCTCTGTCCCTCAAATAGTCCCTAAGGACCGACTGCATATAGCGCGGCACTCGATGGTATTCGAGCGCACGCCCTATACACCCCCAGGGTAGGGTGTTAAATGCGTTGGCGATGTCAAGTGACACCGCCATTGCCACCCCACCCCGGGAGACAGCCTCATCCGAGAAGGCCCGCACGCGTTGGATCGCGTCCACTGTCGATCGGCCTTCCCGGAATCCGTACTGGCAGTCGGCCAGATCGGGACCCACGAGGGGCAGATGCCTTTGGAGGCGGGCAACGAGCACCCGCTCGAATAATTTGCCCGCCTCGTCCAGCAAGCATATCGGGCGATATGCGGAGGGCGACTCCGGGGAGCGTCCTTCCTTCTGTAGGAGGACGAGAGTCGCCTCCTTCCACATGGGGGGAAATTGTCCCGACTTAAGGCAGGCTGTATACAGCCTCCTTAGCCGGTCCCCTAGGACGCCGAGGGCCAAGACCCAGGCTCGGCCGGGGATACCATCGGGCCCCGGGGCGGTATTCTTCGCCCGGAGCCTCCGTATTGCCCCAGCCAGCTCCTCCTCTGTAACCCCCAGATCGTCGGTCCACAATGACGTGTGGACCGACTGTCCCGGAGACGTGTCCGCCCTCTCCCCATTATTGGGGAAGAGGGCCGCGACCACGTCCTCCAGGACCTGGGGGTGGAGACTCTCGGTAATCCGGGGCCCCCCTGATTTCAGTTTTTTTCTGACAATCAGGTAGGGGCGCCCCCATGGATCTTCGTTAAGAGTCTCCAGGAGCTCTGCCCAGGCCTTATCTTTGGCCCTCTTGATGGCTCGCTGCAGCACCTTCTTTGCCTCTCTATAGGCTGCATACAGCGACGCCGCTTCGGTCTCCGAATGACGCCTGCGACGGCATCTTGTGTACGCGGCACTCCCTCACGCACGTCGCGCGTAATTGCGCGATCTCGAGCGACCACCAGTACACTGACTTCTTCTCGGGGAGGGCCCGGATCCGGGGCATAGCCACATCGCATATTTGCGACATGGCCTCCCGGAACCAGGTAGCCTCCCCGTTGACGTCGCAGGCGTCAGGCCCCGGCATTTCTTCCAGGGCCTTGACTGAAGCGGCTGCCATCAAGGCGTCCTCAACCAGGCACTTAAGCGCCCAGCGGGGGAGTGGAGGTGCACCTCCACGCCCGGGGGGACGCGGCTGGTTTCCAAGGGCAGGGTCGGAGACGTCCCATCGGATATACCGATGATCGGACAGCGTCTCCGACTCCTCCATTACCCTCCAGCCGACCACCTTGCGCGCGACTGACGGGGATCCAAACGTCACATCGACGATGGATCCCCCATTGTGCCGCACGCAGGTGTGAGCCGAGCCTCTGTTTAGCACTACGAGGCCCAGCTCCGCCCCCCACTCCGCGAGTTCCTGACCCCGGGCATCGGTCGCGGGGGAACCCCAATCCACCGACTTGGCGTTGAGGTCCCCCGCGACAAGTACTGGACCAGGCAGTTGGCGACGTATCGACGTCGCCACCTGGTCCAAGTACTCCCGAAACTGGGTCAGGTCGCGATTGGGCGAGAAGTACACCCCCACCACGACAATCTCCCCCCATTTGGCGGTCACGTGGCCGCCTCCTCTCCCTATAAGGGTTAGGGGGAGGGCGTTCTGGCCGCCTCTGCCGATAATGGTGACCGAACCGTCCACATCGCCGATCCAACAGGATTTTGCTGGGACGTGGTACGGTTCGGCCACCACCGCCAGATCTATACACCACTCCGCCAGCGTTTGCAGCAAGAGATCCTGCGCCCTGGCGGAGTGGTTAATATTCGCCTGGAGGAGGCGATGGTGTCTGCTGATTTAAGCAGTGTCCATCGCCTCCTCCTGGCTACCAGCCGGGCCCTCGCTGGGCTCCGAAGAAGGGGGGGGCCGCTCCGAAGTCGGCGGAGCAGCCCCCTGTTTCTTTGGTCCCTCGTTGGGGGGGATGGGGGCAGGTTTCGCCCCCTTTCCCCCCTTCTTCTTTCCCTTCTTTACAGGCCGGAGGGAGGCGCAAGCCCTCCCCGCGTACCTGTGATTGGCCGGGTGCCCCCCATCCGCACAGAGCGGACAGTGGGGGTCTTTAGCGTCCGGCCGCAACATGTCCCTGCTGACCGCAGCGGTAACACAAGCCGCTGCGGTCAGTCTCCGCTTTACAGTGGGCCCTCGAATGACCGACCCCCATGCACTTATAGCACTGCAGGGGCCGGGGTTCGAGGGCCTCGACGCGGGCCCTAATCCACCCAATGGGTAGATGACCCGCGTCGACCACCTTCTTGGCGGCGGCTGCGGGACATCGGGCCCACACGGACCCGAGTCTACCCGCGGGGGAGAGGTTGATCTTACCAACCTTTACCTCCCCCACGGAGCAGCCGCCCGCCGCAGCAATGGATTGCTGCACCTCTGTGGGGGTGATCGAGTCATCCAAACCGGCCACCCGCAGTTCTGCGAGCTTGACCGGCCTGGAGACCCTCACCCCCTTAGGCTCCAGCAGGGGCCTTAGCGCCTCGGCCAATTTGTCGGCCTTTGGGCCGCTATCGGGACCGGGGACCTCAAACAAGAGGCCCCCGCCCGCCGCCTTTTTCGGCTTTAGTGAGGCGATGCCGAACTCGGCCAGCTTAATGCTGGACCGAACGCCGGCGATCGCCTCCCCCAGCGCCGCCGGTTTTTCACCCCCCCCCGGACGGATCCGTGCTCAAAAGCACGGCCGCCGTTTTGGGGGGGCGGATCTTACGCGGCTTCGCGGGATTGGTCCTCTGCGATTGAGGACCTTTCCCGCCCTTCTTTGTGGGCCCTTTGCCCGTCTTCCCCCCCTGTTTAGAGGGGGGACCGGGCTTGGGGGCCTTGGCCTTGGGTGTGGCTCCGGCTCCACCTTTGGCCTTTGCCGCCTTTCCACCCGAGCGGTTGACGACGGTCCAATCGGACCCGTCGGCCGCTCGTCTGGGCTCGACGGCCTTGGTAGTCTTAGCCGGGGGGGCCTTTGCAGGTATCCCCCCGGTTTGACTGCCCTTTCCCTTCGCTGGGGAGGGTGGCGGTGGGGCCGCGGTGGATTTAACCCCCCGACCCCCGTCACTCCTCCCTTTAGCCCCTTTGGGGGCCGCGGCGGCCACCTGCGCAAATGTTTGCGACTTGGTGACCGCCGCCCGATCCCTATCCGCCTGTAGTACGGGCCGGATATTGTCGGGGGGGAGACGCTGCTCGATCACCGCGAGCCTCGCGTCCATGATGGCCATAAATCGGCCAGTGATCGTGTTAATCAGCGCCTCCCCTCCCGGAATTGCCGAAAGATCGGCAGACGCCTTCTCTGGCGTCCCCGCATTAATGTCCTCTCCCCTCCTCCTCCTCTTGGACGAATCCATACTGGGGGAGGGAGGGGGGGACGACAAAGGTTCCCCCCGGCCGCGACGCTTTTCGCGCTGCGGTAACGGGGGGGGATCCACCTCCATGGAGCTGGGGCCCGGTGTTGGGGACGAGGGTGACACGGGGCCCTGCGATCCCGCCATGTTCGTCACCCTCTCCCTCAGCTCGCCGAGTTGCCTCCTGAGTTCGGCCACTTCACCGGTAAGCCGGCTATTGGCCTCCCTCAGGAGACGACTCTCCTCGTTCTGGGTGCGGCTGGCAAGTTCCTTGCCAGCCGCACCCACCACTTTGGCCGCCTCCTTCAATATTCTCACAGAAGTGCCCTTAAGGCCCTTCTTGAAGGAGGCGATCTTGTGGATGGCGTCGATCGTCCCCCTCAGCTGCATCTCAAGATCAGCTGAAGAGAGACAGGACGGGTCCAGGATCTTTTGTGACCCATCCTCGACGCTCACCTCTGCCCCCAAGAGGATCTTTCTGGACCGAGTCGTTGCTGGTTCGGTCCAGTCATCCAGGAGCTCGCGCTCGGCTTTGAGGGCGAGCTCCTCCCTTTCCAAGCGGATGTTCTCCGCCTTGGCCTTTGCCAGGCCCACAAAATCCCCGGTGGTACGGGGTTTGTTTCGTCCCCGGCGCTCCAACATCCCCATAGAGAGGATGGAATGGCCGAAGGCGATGGAGGAGTCGGAATCGTCGCCCTCCCTGAGGCGTTTAGTTGTCGGGTCGCCCTCAGGGTCGTCGACCTCCATGTCGGCGTCCGAAGACGCCGCCGACGCTCCGCTTCCTTTCCTCTTGCGGGCCTTGCTCGAAGCAGGGCCCGGCTTCTTTGCGACGGGGGGGTCGGGGGAGCGAAACTCCCTCCCCTTCTCTCCCGGCACTCTACCCGTGGTCCGAGCGCATCGCTCGACCGACGATTCATCGGCCGAGCCATACTCGGAGCCACTGTTATGCACTCGAGCGGATCTAGTGCTCCGAGTGCTGCGCTGACTATTCGAGCGCGATACTGAGGGCGATGTTATGCCCATCATCCCGAGGCCCAGCCAGGCCGGACGGTCTCTTTCTCCACCATCTTGCGTTTCCGCAAGATGTGGCTCTCCCCCCTCGTCTGTATTTTTTATAGGCAAACTCATTTTTGTTTTTCTCCCGGGTGCAGCGCGGCTCCGTCCACACAGGGTATACCCTCACCCCCGCCGAGAGTGCCCGAAACATGACCGGCACACTCCCGACGGGGGGCCCCAAGTTCCCCCGGGGGGTGGACTATGCCTCGGGGGGGAGGAGAGACTCAACTCCCCCACTGGGCTCCGGGCCCCTACACACCCACCCCGTAAAGGGTGGGCTTTCGGGGCTCCCGTACCTCCGACAATACGGGCACCGCGCTACAGCTTGCCAAGCTTGGATATGGACCCCCAGGAGGGCCCCACGGACGGTTGGGACTGGGTCGCTGCTCCCCGGCCCAGCCTTACCCGCCGTGGCGACCAGCGCGCCCGCGCACCTGTGCCGCGAAGCGGTTTAAACACAGGGCGCCGCCTGTCCGTTGACCCCGCCGCTTCGGAAGGGAAGCAGTCGCGACGGTCGCCGGACTCTACTCTCGTCACCGGGCCCCGCCTCGGAATAAGTCCGAGCGGCCCCGGTGACCGGACCGCTTCCACACCCCCGAAAGGGTGTGTCAGCGGACCGTGCCTCCGCCACTGGACCCGAGCTCGGAATATGTCCGAGTGGCTCCAGTGGCCAAGCCGGCAGACCCGAGCTCGAAATAAGTTCGAGTGGCTCTGCCGGCCTCCTCCGTCCCTAACTGGGGATCCGGGAGACCCCATGCCAGAGTGCACGCCCTGAAAAGGGCGTCACCCCCAGACACAAGGTCCCCCTTCACCCCATCCCCCCGAGGACTCTACGTGGCGGGAGCACCCACCACGCAGCGTCCTCATAAAATCCCATACGGGAGCACCCGCAAGGTGCACGGAGGGAGGATAGAAATCCTCTCCTAACGGCTCCGTGCAGCCGGGCGATTGAAGTCAGGGCCGCCAACCCCTATGCGCATCAGGCCAAGGTGCCCGAAGGGAGCGCAACCCCCCTTCTCGTGATGTCCGCCCACGACGACTTCGGATTACTCACATACTCGCTACTCACGGCCCGAGGGCCGCTTTCGTTTTCGTTTTCATCCTCAGCCGCCGCCTACAGCGAACACCACGAGGAAGTGCAATGGTGTGCTCTTAGACCCCTCAACCCGAAGGAAGAGGGGAGCTCCTCCACCACGACAAGGTGGCACACCACGGAGGAGAGAGGAAGGGAACCTAACCTAACCTAACCTAACCTAACCTAACCTAACATAAAGACAGTTTCTTTCGATGAGAAGCATTAAAATTTTGAAACTTAAACTTGTTATATCTCCTAAACCAATGCCGTCCCGGACTTGGTTTTTGCGAGGATTTACTCAGAACAACTTTCTTTACAACATATCCAAAAAGCAATGAAATCGATGAGGTGTACCGTTTTCCGAATAATTACCCCGGGAGCAACCAAGAGCACCGTACGAACTGCCGGTACAATCCGGTATTGGGGTCCCTATTGCAATTTCAGGAGTCGCAGAGACCCGTCCTATTGATTCCCTTTTTCGTTTCCCGAGCATGAGGGGCACGTCTTGACGGTGATATTCACTTTCCCGCAACGGTAGCAATGCAAGCGCTGCGGTTCTTTACATTCGCGTGCAACGTGTCCCGTTTTCTCGCAATTCCAACATTTGATGTTAATGCGCGAACCTGCAGTCGTCGCAACGTGGCCGTCTCGGTTGCCGGATCGGCTGCAGGGGTTGCGATCGCCGTGCTTTTACGCGATTTTCCGGACGCCTTCCCCTTCTGCGGTCCGCGCGCATCAACGCCGGCAGCAACTGCAACCGTTGCAGTTCGCTGCTCCTTTTTCGGTGGCCTGTATGTCAGTTCGGGGAAGATGGACTGTTCCGCGGTCGAATGCGCGTGATGCGTTTTGGCGGCCTCATAATTTCTTTCCACGCGCGTCACTCGACGCTCCAAAGTCGCGAAATCATGAATGTCCTCACGATCTACCGCGGTCCTATAGCGCGGCAGCATATTGCGATACACGTACCCAAGCTGTTCGTCCAGACTCCACGGCGGGCTCATGCGATCAAAAAGAGCTAACATGTATGTGAGATACTCCGCGAAAGGCTCATGTTCTCCCTGAGCCCGCCGAGCAGCCTCATCCCGTAATGCGAACTAAAAATCCGGATTTCCGAACCGGGCGCGTCACGCGGCAACGAACTCCCGCCACGAGTGCAACTTCTCTCGTTTATGTCGGAACCAGTACAACGCGGTACCCGATAAGAAAAATGGCAAAGATTTCAATAAATCTTCGTCGCTAATCAGTAGCAACACGCGTCCCTCCTCGATTCGCATGAGGAACGTTTCCGCGTCACTCTTGCGCGCCACCGTGAAATTTAAATTCCATCGTCGCATGATGTTATATACGTCCATCACGGACGACGTACCCCGGTTAAACGGGCGGCTATTTCCCGATGGCGCGACCACGCGGTCCTCCTCCGACAACGACAGCAGGGATGGCGTAAATCGTGACTGAACGCGAGGAGGCGCGACGCTTGGATAACCTGGCTATCGCGCGGTCGCACGATCCGCTCCCCCGAGATGGAGGTTTCCACGTAACCCGGCCCCCATGTCGATCCGCTCGCTGGGGCTATCCGGTCTCATAGCCCCGGTCTCGAGAGGAGCCAAAAGTACCAATTCGCTATACGTAGGCGAGTGCGTGGGGTCTAGGCCGAGAGTCTGGTACCGTTCATGACGCGCAAGACGTGCCCTCATGATAGTACCCTCCAATCGCAAAGCGCATTTCTCTAGTTTGGCCTTCAACTCGGCCGCCGACAGCTCGTCAATCCACTTTAATTCCGACATCGCGAGGGAAATTCCAAAGAGAGGGAGGAAGAAAAAAAAATTCTGATTCGCGAGCCGACACATCAAAAGGCTCGATATAAGAGCAAAAGATCGACAGCCGGTACGTGCCGTGAGCTCCCCAAAATACTCTGATCAACTATTCGCACGCGAGTAGCAAGTTCGAGGAACGTGCACGAAAAGCTCCGCTAATCTTTAATAAAGATAAGAAAATTTTTCCGCCGCCTTTCGCGATCACGTTCACTAGAAACCATACCAGCAACGAAACGCAATCACGGACGCCAAATAACCAGAAGACAGCGCAAAATCCTGTAGCGTAATTCTGGAGCAAACGTAACCCAGGCAATACGCGAAATTCACTGAATATTATCAGCCAAAATGCGTCAATTATGCGATCACTTTATCAAAGTACCAAATGCCCGAAATTCCATGACCATGCGCACGCGGGACATACGAAGATACAATATAATTTCAACACAAGTAATACAATATAATTCAATACAAAATATGATTTAAATAAAAATACAAAAATGCCTGCAAAGAGAAGTAAGGATTAGCACGACAAGCAATCAAAATATACAAAAGTTTCAAAATTTTCACATCAAAAGATATCAAATTTCAGAAAAGAAAATAATTCAATTTAATGTTAGGTCTACTCAAGTGACCTCCACAAATGTCCCATGGGATATCGAAGAAACACGGGATACGAGAACTAATTTAAATTTATTTATTCCATGTTCTCTGTAGGATAGAGCGAGTGAAAAAATGAAAATAAAGAGAAAATGTAAAAAAAATGAGCAAAAATTAAGGTGTTATTGATTTTAATTAAATAGTTGACGATATTGCCAGAAAGGAAAAGTAAGAGCAACGAACAGAAGTGAGGGTGCATCTAATAAATAATAAAGTTAGCAATATTTCAAAGGTGACGAAAAGCGAATGAAAACGTCCAAAAAGAACTAAAATCTCTAATTTTGTACAAGCAATTCTTCAGCGCAAAGAAGAGAAAAGGAAAATACATATCCCGTGACCTTATCCCATGTGACAAAACAAGAAAAAAAAATGAATTGAAATCCGCGGCGTAATTCGGAAACGAATAATAAACGGTAATACTACATTCGATACAATTGGCGAGGATAATAAAATTTTGACTATTTCTCAATTACGCGATCTCAAAAGCGAAAATTACAGCAAAAACAAAAACGAAAAGAATATTAGAATCCCGTAATCAATGGATATTTAAATAACATGAAGAAGTAACCGTCGTGTAATCCACACGTTCCCGTACATTCACGCGAATAATAGCGAATGGAATATACAAAAAAAAATAACACGAAAGCGGAGACAGACGCGATATAACGAATTATCGACAGCAAATCATTCAATAACAAGATCGATCATATTCAGTCGTATACATGTTCAATACGTTCAAAATCAACACGATGATATCGCGAAAGAAATGTCTTTCAATCGATGATCGATAATAACATTGATCTAATCCGAATAATATCGAATAATACAAATCTTAATATCATAAGGCACAGTTCAATATTAATACCATTCCATAAATAAATATTACAGAGCAAATAATATTCACAGTTTCATCCAATAATCTCATCAAAATAAATAATCTTCACATAAATTCAATAATAGGCAGACACAAAATAAATTCAAATATGTTCAAATATATTCGCAATTTTCTCAGAAATACCGCTCTCGATCCTCAAATTCCGCTCTCTCAACACGGAAATCTTTTCGAACACCCTGTATTAATTTTTAAGGGGCCCCACGTTGGGCGCCAATTTGTGACCGTGAAATTTCTTTTTTTTTTCTGAACGGGGAAATTATTAAGAGAACCGATGGTGTTGGTCCACGGCACACCTTCGGCTCGATCACCCTCCGTCGGCGGTCACACCAAAAAAAAAGAACAAGAATTTCTGAATACCAGGCGCGAATATCCGCGCCGCGCGAAACGCTTATTAATCGCAAAGAAAATCGAAGGGCCGATCGTGACGACCCGAAATCTCGGTAGCTCACGCAAACGGTGTCGGTAGAGGCGTGGAGTTCGCGGAGAGCGGGGGAAAGGAGGTCGAGAACGGTTGTAACACTGAGAGAAAACTAATAGTAATCATAAAAATTCGTAACATATATTTCGTCAAGAAAAGAAAATCGAATAAAATAAAAAATGTATTTAATCACATGATTGCCATTCCGACATA